GCACGGTGGCTCATATCTGTAATCCTAGCACTCTGGGAGGCAGAGGCGAGTGGATTGCTCAAGGTCAGGAGTTTGAAACCAGCCTGAGCAAGAGTGAGACCCCATCTCTACTATAAATAGAAAGAAATTATTGGGCCCACTAATTATTATAGAAAAAAAATTAGCCGGGCATGGTGGTACATGCTTGTAGTCCCAGCTACTCAGGAGGCTGAGCCAGTAGGATCGCTTGAGCCCAGGAGTTTGAGGTTGCTGTGAGCTAGGCTGACGCTACGGCACTCACTCTAGCCTGGACAACAAAGTGAGACTCTGTCTCAAAAAAAAAAACTTGTTGAGGGCAGGGGTTGCTTTTTTATATTCAAACAACTTCCCTGCAAGCCTGTCCTGGAAGTGGGTCCTCTCTGTAGCATCCTTTTGCAACTTCCCTTTTGGTGTTTTGCCTTGGAAGCTCCAAAGGGCTCCTGATAAGGGGCCTCCTGTAAGATGCTTGCTCCTCTCTCCAGGACAGTTTCCAGCAACTTTTGTCTTGCCCAAATTGCCCAGAAAACAGCAGCCTCTCTGCCCTCAAAAGATAATTGCTTCTGGCTGGGCGTAGTGGCTCACACCTGTAATCCTAGCACTCTGGGAGGCCAAGGCGGGTGGATCGCTCAAGGTCAGGTGTTCGAAACCAGCCTGACCAAGAGGGAGACCCCGTCTCTACTATAAATAGAAATTAATTGGCCAACTAATATATATAGAAAAAATTAGCCGGGCATGGTGGCGCATGCCTGTAGTCCCAGCTACTTGGGAGGCTGAGGCAGCAGGATCACTTGAGCCCAGGAGTTTGAGGTTGCTGTGAGCTAGACAGACGCCACAGCGCTCACTCTAGTCTGGGAAACAAAGTGAGACTCTGTCTCAAAAAAAAAAAAAGATAGCTGCTTCCTACAAGGGTTGGGTAGTTTTGAAAATTTTTTATGTCAGGCCTTAGGCCAAAACTCTTCATTAAATCAGGCCATTTTCCAAACACCCTAGGACAGAGAGTCCTTCCCCACGAGGCCTGGGATCCATTGTCAAATAGATTTCTTGAGTAAAATTTTGTTCCCTCTATAAATATTTAGCTGGAATCTAAAATATTAATCTTCTCCCACACATTCCAAGCAGAAAGCAAGTTGCCAGAGCCTCAGATTGTCTCAGCATCACAGAGCCTTTTTAATAATCATCTATAATCAAGTGCACTAGATTCCCAAGGCTCCCCTTGTTTGCCACATTAAATATCTTGTGGCTCAGTCAAAAATACCACTCTGGTACCTGGTGAGGGCCTGGCCTGGTCTGACCATTTCTGGAGGGAAACTGGCCTGAGTTAGGCTCCTTTTGCAAATCCTATTCATTGATCTTTGAACATGGCTCACAACTTCATGAGTATCGGGATGGTGTTATTGCCCTGCCAGAGCATTTTTGAGCAAAGGTGGGGGACACGGGCCCTAGGTTGTCTCTCGCCTTCCTCCTGGTCTTTTGATCCCTTTGGAGTCTTCTTTGGAATTGCCAGTAGGGGATCCAGGAAAATGCCAAGGGACAGGGAGGCTCCCCTATTCTTAGAGCAGGAGGGAGGAGGAGGAGGAACCCTGAGACACAAAGATGAGAAGAAGTCCTAGTACCCAATGGTGCTGGGTTGAGCCTCACAGATGCAGAGGCATGCTAAGTGCCCCAGAGCTCAGAGTCTAGAACAGATCCATGAGGCTGAACAGCCAGCCATGCTTGGGTGTGGGGAACACTACAATCTGGCTGAACTAAGGGCAGGGTCACCATTTGCAGCACATGGTCATGCCTCTTGGAGTCCCTTTGAAAAAATTGCTATGCTCCCAGGCCTCAACTGTGACTCTGTGGTCCCCCCTGGACCTTCACTCTGCCATTCACTCACTTTTCTCCTTGTTCCTATTCTTTCTTCCTCAGCCTTCTCCTCCAGCCCTCCAGCCTCTCCTTCTAGCAGCCTCTGCAGACCAGCTCCTGCCTTAAGTATTGTTGCCAATTCTACCAGGCTGCTCATAAAGCTGGTTTCTAGTGGCTGTGGCATGAAAACTAGTGGGATCTATGGGTCCTGGAATCTCTCTTCATAGGGTTGGATAGGCCCAGCTTCTTATATGCCTTGTGCGATGGCTTGAATTTTTGGTTTGTAATTTGCAGGTTCCAAAGCTCCTATTTAGTTTTGAAGCTGTCTTGTTTCTATTTTGATTCTGGTAATCCAAATTGCAGTTTGGTGTTTCCACGGAAACAATTCAGTGATTGTTTGGCTTAGCAAGATGAACTGTGGGGGAGAGAACTGAATGACGTAAAACATTCATAAAGTTTCTCAGACATGACCAAGGTCATAACTGACATCAATATATTAACTAAACTTCAAGCTTTATTCAGGTTTCATTAGTTTTTCCATTAATGACCTCTGTTCCAGGATGCAATTCAGGATTCCAAATTGCATTTAGTCATTGTGTCTCCTTAGTCTTTAGTGGTCTATGATGGTTTTTGAGTCTTTCCTTGTTTTTCATTACCTTGACAGTTTTGAGTTCTGGCCAGGTATCCTATAGAACATCCCCAATTTGGGTTTGTCTGACATTTGTCTCCTGATCATAAACTAGGGAGATGGAGATTTGGTAAGAATACCAGGGAGGTGAAGCACCCTTCTTGTGGCATCCTATCAGGGTATGTGTCACACTCATGTAACGTCACTGGTGAGGTTAACTTTCAACATTTGGTTAAGGTAGTATATGCCAGGTTTCTCCACTGTTAGCCTGTGATTTTTCTCTTTCCTTAGTCTTTGGAAAAAGTCGTAAGTCTAGCTCACCCTCAAAGGGTGTTGATAGAGTGGGTGGTGAGTGGGAAGGGATGAGAACTAAGTCCCACTCCTTCCATAGGAGAGTATCCACATCCACATATATTTGGAACATACTGTTTTGAGAGCTTTTTAAAATATCAATTCATCTGACATCTCTCCATACAGCCAGCCAAGGATGTTGTATTTCTTCTCATTTGCTCCCATTCTTCCTGCTTTGGAAGAAGTGACCTCTAACTCCACATACTGTGAATGCTTATTGAGGGTGCTACCTCCTGCAGGGACTGAGTGGGGCAGGTGGCCTAGGAAGAGCCTCTGGTTAGCCTTGTCCTCCCCTCCTGCCCAAGGTAGGGCAGTGGCCACAACTGGGTGGAAACCAGCGCACACCCACTGAGGAGGTACATCTGACCAAGTGGCTGGGATCTAGCTGCAACACAGTTCTTGGAGCACTGGCAGTTCCTGGGCTGAGCTCTGCTAAGTAGATGTGCAGCTTCCACCTCTGATCCAGAGGATTCACTAGACCCGGGGTAAAGGGGTGTTGCTGGCTCTCTAGCGTCCCCTATGTCAGGGTCACTGGCCTAGAAGGGGGCCTGGTGGGCAGTCACTCAGCTGTTGGGCCTTTCTCCCCAGCTCTTTGGTTTGTTCAGACTTTGAGTCCACCAAATAGCCCAGTGCCAGCCTCCTCGCCCCCATCCTCCTTCCTGATTAACTTAGAAGGTGGCACTTCCCTGAGACTCAGTTTCTGGGATACAGAAAACCTTGCCCAACAGCTTATTAGGTGTCCTGAAAGAACATCATGGCTTTGAAATATATGTCTAAATAATTTCCGAAGGCCGGGCGTGGTGGCTCACACCTGTAATCCTAGCACTCTGGGAGACCGAGGCGGGCAGATTGCTCGAGGTCAGGAGTTCAAATCCAGCCTGAGCAAGAGCGAGACCCCGTCTCTACTATAAATAGAAAGAAATTAATTGGCTAACTAATATATATAGAAAAAATTAGCCGGGCATGGTGGGGCATGCCTGTAGTCCCAGCTACTCGGGAGGCTGAGGCAGCAGGATTGCTTGAGCCCAGGAATTTGAGGTTGCTGTGAGCTAGGCTGATGCCATGGCACTCACTCTAGCCTGGGCAACAAGGCGAGGCTTTGACTCTGTCTCAACAAAAAAATAAAAAAATTAAAAAAAAAAAATTTCCGATGATGTTCTTTCTTTCCAGGGGTGGAGCTAGAGCCAATAAACTTTTATTTATTTATTTATTTAATTTTTTTGAGACAAAGTCTCACTCTGTTGCCCAGGCTAGAGTGAGTGCCGTGGCGTCAGCCTAGCTCACAGCAACCTCAAACTCCTGGGCTCAAGCAATCCTGCTGCCTCAGCCTCCCGAGGAGCTGGCACTATAGGCATGCGCCACCATGCCCGGCTAATTTTTTCTATATATATTAGTTGGCCAATTAATTTCCTTCTATTTATAGTAGAGACGGGGTCTCGCTCTTGCTCAGGCTGGTTTCGAACTCCTGACCTTGAGCGATCCACCCACCTCGGCCTCCCAGTGTTAGGATTACAGGCGTGAGCCACCGCACCTGGCAACCAATAAACTTTTGATATTATGCTGACGTTAGGAGGGCAATGGCCTGGCTCTTCTTTCCTTCCCTGCCCTGTCTTCCCCACCAGGGTCATTGCCATAGGAACCACCTGTGGTCTCCAAGCCTGTGGTGGGATGGATAAGGCTCAGGTAGAAAGGTGGATGGGCAGGACCTGTACTTACCTTTCCCTCTCCATTCCCCCTCAGCTCAGGGCCCAGGTGTCTGGGGGTGTGAGGTGTGGTAGGGAGGCCTCACGGGAATGTCCTGTCAGGAGGGAGCCAGGGATCCTGCCAGCTCTTCTGATTCAACCAGGAGCCCTCTGCAGAGGCATGTAAGCTGGGCAGGGACAGGGATGGGGGAATTGAGGGGAGATAGGTCTAGACACCGGGAAGGCATGGGGCCCATGCAGGGAACAGGGAGCTATATGTACAAAGTGTACAAGGAGAGAAAATTGTGTAAGGATGGCAGAGGGCCCAGGCCAAGGTCTAGGTGGACCCTAATTCATCTGTGTAGGCTGATCTGGCCCAGGATGGGCTGGTCCTGGGGGTGCACAAAGCCCACCCTGGTGTGGTCCCTGTACTTTTTTAGGGGCCCATGGAAAAGAACACCAAAAGACACAGCAGAGGCCCACAACCTGCACCTACCTTGGATACTGGGTATATTGAACATCAATTTAAAAAACACATTCAAGATGTCAAGAAAAGTAAAATCAACAGTAGGAAACATATTAGAGCAACAGAATTCAAAAACTGGGCTCTCAGCTCAAAAAACTACATAACTGGGAGTTTAAAAAGGTTTTGCAAACCCTTTGAAAAATGTGGCTCCTGACAACCACCATGGCTGCTTCTACTCAGGCTCCTTAAATGGCAGTCTCCTGCTGTAAGAATCAAAGCTAAGATCAACTGTCCTTAATCCATTTGGTATTTAAAAGAGGTCATCAAATTGTAGTCTTCTTCCAAGTCCAGAACAGTCTCAACTACATTATGATCATCAAAAGCCTGCTTGAGACTACCAGGGTCAGCATCCATTGCCTTCTGAGGGCTCTCGTCCATAAGCAGAGCCCAGGTCTCCTCCTTGAAGGGTGAATCTTGGCAGCGACCACACACACGGTTCAACTCATTTTCGAATTCTAGTTTTCCAGCCAATTCTTCAATAGTTCGGATGTTTGTATGGTCTTAAAAATAAGAATATCCAGTGAAAGGTTTTTGAAGACATTTCAGGCACAAGTTAAAAACCAACAATTGAATGTGTAGTCACTCTTCAGGGATTGTGCAAAGCCAGGCATTTCTGCCCCAGGGCAGGCAGGCTGTCAAAGTGCCAAAGTAAGGTGGGCCTGGTGCCTCCTTTCAGGCCCAAGCATTTATCAAGCCCCAACAACCTGCCAGTCCCCAAGGAAGGTGCAAGTGACAGGATACAGAAATGTACATGCTTATCCTGGCTTTCAGGGACTTTAGGGTAATCAGAATGCTGCCTGCTGCTGGTGAGGGCCAATGTAGATAGTGGGCAGAGGCAATAATGACTTCAGTTCACCTCCTGGGGCTATCAGAGGAGACGCAGTCCACTGAAGTCACAGGCTGGCAGGGGTCTTATTAAATACTTTGTGGCCTACAGTGTGTACCTCTCCCGTCACCAGGCCTCCCTCTCCTCTCCCATAATGTACAGACCCTTTAGAGCCCACAGCTTTAGGCCGCGCCCAAGGCTATGCATCCCTTCACTAAGAGCTGTTTGCGTACTGTGTAGGATGAGTCATTTAAAAATAGGGCACATGTAGTTCACACAAAGTATATATAGATTTGTGTGTAGAAAAAGATGTCTGACAGAATGTATACTATACTATATTAACAATGGCTATCTCTGGGTGGTAGAATTATAGCACAGCTTTTGCCTTTGAATTTTTCTTCTAATCTACTACTACCCACCCAGGCTGGACTACTCTCCTCCTCTTTGCCTATGTCCTATTCCCTATAAATCTAAGCTCAATCACCAAGTCCTGGTGGCCACCATCCCTTACATTCAGGGAGTCACTGTAACTAGACATTTATGAAATGACCTGATGGATGTGTTGTGACCTTGCTAAATTATCAGTTCTATGAGGGCAGGGCTCTATGCTATGCAGAGTTTGCTGTGAGCAAAACAAACCTACCAAATAAATAATTTTTTTTCAATCTGACACACTTGCTGACTCAAGCGCCAGCAAGGAGGACCTATCCTCCCAAGGAAAGGAGAGACTGGCCGTATGTACTCACCAATCATGTCAAGCAGATCCTTTGTGACCTCTTGGCTAGAATTGTTGAGTGGCATGTTTGAGTCAACCTTCAAATCTTTCTCCGTATCTTTCCTGCAGCACCCAGGTGTGGGGGGGAAGGTAGGGAATTAGACACTATTTCAAGAAAATACTGGAGGGAACTCAGATAATCCTAAAGACAAAAACTTACTGGTGACTTCAAATTGTCATTTACACTGTGATTAGAGGGCAATCAGAAACTGCTAAATCAGTGAAGAAATAGACTAACAGTATCATCATAAAATTCATAAGCATTATAGACTGCATTAATGTTTACGAATACCAATATTATTCATGGAGCTGAACCAGTTAAATGGACTCTGTATACCCTGCCTATGGGGCAGCCAAAATGACAGGACCTAGAAGTTTCATCCTATGTCATCCTTACTCCAAGTCAAGGTACCTGGGAACAGGCAGTTTGAAGTTACTTGGGAGAAGAAAACACCAAGAGGAGACTTTAACCTGGTAATAGTACAAAAAGCTCTAGGGTGGGGAAGGAAGCAGAGGTAAGGATGAAGCCAGGAAGTAGGGCCCAGCCTTTGATTCAGCCTTCCCCAAATGTGGGCAAAGAAAGGTATCAAAGGCCCCAAGTGTCCAGGTTCAAACACAAGAGTTCAGATGGAATTAAAAATTTTTGTTTCTATGTGACCAATTTATTAGGATGAAAAAAAAAAAAAAAGAAGAAAGTATTTTAATAAAATAAAATAAAAATTTTGTTTCTAGGCTGAGCGTGATAGCTCATGCCTGTAATCCTAGCACTCTGGGAGGCCAAGGCGGGAGGATTGCTCAAGGTCAGGAGTTTGAGACCAGCCTAAGCAAGAGCAAGACCCTGTCTCTACTAAAAAAATAGAAACAAATTAGCTGGACAACTAAAAATATATAGGAAAAAAATTAGCCGGGTATGGTGGCGCATGCCTGTAGGCCCAGCTACTCGGGAGAGAAGGATCACTTAAGCCCAGGAGTTTGAGGCTGCTGTGAGCTAGGCTGACACCACGGCACTCTAGCCAGGGCAACAGAGTGAGGCTCTATCCCCAAAAAAAAAAAAAAATTTTTGTTTCTATAGCATAAATAATAAGCTTATTTTTAAAACCTGGATACTGGCCAGGCATAGTGGCTCAATGCCTCTAATCCTAGCACTCTGGGAGGCCGAGGAGGGTGGATCGCTCAAGGTCAGGAATTCGAAACCAGCCTGAGCAAGACCCTGTCTCTACCAAAAATAGAAAGAAATTAATCGACCAACTAAAAATATATATACAAAAAAATAAATAAAAAATAAATAAAACCTGTATACTTAACATTCATTACTCCTCTGGATACTGCAAAATGGTTTCCATGACTGGTTTGAGATCCATGATTGACAACCAACCCTTCAACCCCAAAACATACACAAAACATAATTGTTTTCTGGGTCAGATGTCAAATGTCTGTGAACTTCCCAAATACAGTTGCAGAGCTCTCAAGAAGAGGCAAGAGCACTGTCATGAACTACATCTAGGATCTTCAACATTTTTTTCTAGAAACAAGAATCTTCTTAATTGTAGCTATTAAATTATCAAATTAGAATCACCTTAAACTTTCTTTTCTCCAGTTTTCCCCATCTCCTGCAACTCTCCAAAACTGTCTTTCAGATGCCAAAATGGAGGAATGCATCAGTACATTTTCTTTGCTGGTCAGAGGTTTTCTTTTGGGGCATAAAACATGTGGTTTTGCATTTACTGGGACATGGTTTGATGCAAAGGCAGGGTTCTCATTCTCAGGAGCACATGGGAGAGCCGCAAAAGGAGCAGCAGCAGAGCAGGCTGCCAAAGGATGTCTTCTGCAGAGGAGCCTGTGCACGGGCAGCGGGAAGGAAAGCGGAGCAGCGTCCAGCTCCTGCCTCTGCTGGCCTGTGCACTCCTGGGAATGACTGACTCCTTCAAAGGCCCGGTCAATGGCTGCGGTCAGCTCCTTTCTGCATCTTCTTAGTTTTTCGGACATTTCCCCTAAAAGTGACCATGTCTTTATGTAATACATTGGAGATGCACACAGCAACACAACGATGTTACAAATGAGGTTGCAGACCACCCCTGAATGGGGTGCTCACCATGATTTCCTAGAGGTTGACCCCTGCTATAGCAGGAGGCCCCGCACTGGGGCACTCTCTTCCCTTTCCCCCCAGTGTAGGCGGGTGTGGCCCACAGTTCTCCGGGAGGAATTCCGGCCTGACAGGAGCCCCAGGGCCTCGCCCGCCTCCCATCGTTTCCCGGCACCTGCCGCCACCCCCACCAGCTCCCAGGCTCGGTAGTACCGGCACCCACGGCTGCCCGCCCACAGCCGCGTCCTCACCGCGCAGCGCGGCGACACCGCCGCCACCCCCGCCAACGGTCACCGCGCACTCCCGGATCGCGCGTGCCCCGAGACCAGGGGCCTCCACCCCCACGGGTTAGGTTAAAGGTCAGACAAAAAGGCCCGGACGACTGTGTTCTTTAAGCCCGCCCACACGCAGGTGGCTGGGAGGGGAGGCAGAGGCCGCCCCAACACAGAGGGCGGCAGCGGGACGCGAGCCCGCCTCACTGCAGGCGGGGCCGGGCGGGGCGGGGCGGGGCCGAGCCGGACTCGGCTGGGGGAGGAGAGATCTGGGCCGGAGGGTATGGGGCCATATCTGAAAGCAACACCCCAAACCGGCATGGGCCAGAGCCCTTTCCAGGCCTGACATCTCCCACAGAAGTTCCCGTTCTCAAGCCAACATGGAGAGAAATGACTGGATGGGACACGGTACCCAGCAGTTTTGTGTACCGACTTCTTTTAAGTGATAGCTAATAAAAGTTCCACACAATGTCTGTCTCAATTCATCAAGGACAGTGGGGGACACAACAGAACTGTTAGGTTCCACAGGAGGTTGAGGGGCAGGAGACCCCAACACTAAATATCTTCACTTCATTAGGGGGAATAAAGCTGAAAATTCCAAGATTACTCAAAGGAGAAACAGAAATGGGCTTCAGTGGCTAATTTTTAGAAAATTATAAACCCATCTCAGTACACACAGCAAGGGAGAAGGGGACAACACCAAGTTTACTTGAGGCTTGGTTGATGGCGGGCAGACTACTGGGGGAGTAGTATCTGTACCAGAACCAGAAATCCAGGAGCTTGGGCAGCCCTGCGTGGGTTCTTCATGGCTGCACCACTCAGTGCATTCCTAGCCAATCTTTGGAATCCATCAGACATACTCCTGTGTACCCCCACCCTACCCCACTTTTCAGCTTCACAGGTTTTACAGAAATTTCTCACCACCTGTTTAAAAAGAAAAATAATTCAGCCTTTGACATAACCCTTCCGAGTAAATAGGGTCTTTTTTTTTCCATCTGCTCATAAAAAAAGGGAATTTCCTCATCTGGTGTTTAGATGGAACACTAGCAGTCTGTGAAGGATGTCCTAGGGGACTGCACTGGTGCTGCAGGGTGGCCAAGTCAGTGTCAGTTGGTGTCCATGCTATAAGCCTCATCATCCCCCAAGCCCTGCTGTGAGCTGCTTGATCTTGACCCTCCATCAGAGGAACCAGGAAAACTGCTGAGTGAAGGCATCTTATAAGATTCATCATCTCGACGCTGGTAAAATAGCACGTAAGCTGCTTTCGTCTAAAACACAAAAAGGGGAAAGTCCATTCACTGGTTGGAAAAATCACCCATTTTCCCCAGCTTTTCTTTCACTGTTCAAAACTCAGGGAGAGTTTGCCCTATATATTTACTTTGTCCTATAACCTACACAGAGGAGACTAGGAAGGCCTTTCCACCTGAGGCTGGCTGTGCTGCCCCTGCCAGGATATTAAGGGAAGGCAGGTGCCCTGGACACAGAACTGAGGGGAGCTTATTTACAGAGGGCCTCACAGGAATGGTAGCCAACTCACTCTGTCACACTTAGCTCCCACTGTCACATCAGGATGACAAAATGACCAATAAGTCAGACAAGAGACTCTTTCCAGCTTTAATCTGTTAAAGCAAGAGTAAGAACCAGGTATCCAGGGCTACTCACCACTATCTGATCCTCAGAGGCCAGGGACACGTTGCTATCATCAAAGTAATACCATTTCCCGTTCAGTTTGTTCTTTGCATAAGCAGTGTCTGCCAAGTCAACAAAGAAAATAGTCTAGCAATCACCAGGCAATAAATCTGGCTTACACTAAGTACACAGCAAAAACAACTCAAAAACAAAACCCCTGACATTAAAAATAACTTACAGCTTTTGTCTTAACAACCAAAAGACAACTCTTTTTTTCTAATCTATTACTCTCAAAAAGGCTCTAAAGGGTTAAGAATGGAGCTGTTTAAACTGTAATTTTGGGAAACAAATCGGAAGAATACATATCCAGTGTCAGTCTTCAGGATAGCTATATATAACCATCCAGAGCCAGGGGATCCATAAAAGGAGCTGGTATTTCTAAGATTTAAGCAAAACAATAGCTCTCAAAAGCACACGCCAAGTCAATCCCCCCACCACGTGTAGGCAGATGGCTACTACCATCAGCAGAAGGCTCTCAGTGTCCTGGAGCCTACGGGACCCAGTTAGGGAAACACTAGGTGTTTGGGTTTACAGAGCTGGGATGTGAGAAGCCTTAAATTTCTCTTTCTCTAAAATGAGAGTCAAGGGTCTGTGGTTGAGTAACAATTCCTCACAAGGGTCCAAACATTTCCCATAGCCAATGCTTCCTGTCTTGATTTTCATGCTATTTCCAAGCAGGATGTGTTTATAATAGCAATCCCAGTGGCAATGCTTAATTTCTGCTCTACCCAGACTCTTAGAAACTACAAAATCTAATGAAGATCTGGTTTCTAGTTTCAATTTATTGTATGACTTTGGACAAGCTGTTTAACATATCAGTGTAGCATCAACTGTACCAAGTGGTGGTGAGGAACATGGGATAAAACAACAGAGAAGGTGCTCAGGGCCTGTTCAGACTGTCTATACTTGAGATAACAGCAGCAATAGTGGCTCTCAATCTTGGAGTTCCAACTGTGGCCCAATGTGGACCCTCACACAACCAGCCTAACCTCATGGATGAGAAAAATGAGGCTGAGAAACTTGCCCGGGTACTAAAACAGCAGTTAAAATGAATACATTTGGCAGGGCGCCGTGGCTAACACCTTAATCCTAGCACTCTGGGAGGCCAAGGCAGGCAGATTGCTCGAGGTCAGGAGTTCGAAACCAGCCTGAGCAAGAGCGAGACCCTGTCTCTACTATAAATAGGAAGAAATTAATTGGCCAACTAACATATATAGAAAAAATTAAAAAATGAGCTGGGCATGGTAGTGCATGCCTGTAGTCCCAGCTACTCAGGAGGCTGAGGCAGCAGGATTGCTTGAGCCCAGGAGTATGAGGTTGCTGTGAGCTAGGCTGACACCATGGTACTCACTCTAGCCTGGGCAACAAAGTGAGACTCTGTCTCAAAAAAAAAAAAAAAAAAAAATACATTTGACCAGTATTATGTGTGAAAACAGACAGGTATCAAAATTAATTCTGGGAGAAAAAAGCAAGTTGCAGAACAGTGAGCACTGTATGTAGGATATGATATGATCAGACATCTTTAACAGCCACTTCAGTAGGGCCCCAATTTTCATGCAGGTACAATTTTTATTTCCCAGGCTCTGCATGTAGCAATGTGACTGCAGCTACATATAGCAATGTGACCAAGTTTACAGCCAATGAGATGTATGCAAAGAAGGTGAAGGGGGCCTCTGGGAGGTCTGCTTAAAAGAGAAAGTTGACCCTTTTTTCCCCTTTTTCTGATGGCATGGAATGTAAATATGAGGGCTGGAGACTGAGCAGCCATCTGCAGCCAGGTGGGGATACAGTGAATGGAAGGCAGGAGAACAGACCACTGGGCCAAGAGAAAACTTATTAGTGCAGCAGCTAAAACTAGGGTTTAGCGCAGTTCCATAACCTGCTGGGAGGTATAAATGAAACTGACACTTCCCATGGTGTCATCTCTTGGGGTCCTAAAGTGGCAGTTGGCCAAATGGAGATATGGTAGAGGAGCAAAGCCAGCTCCTTACTCCAATATCACTAGCACTTTTCCATAAACAAGTAACAAAATGTACCAGGGTCTTTATAAAAGTAAACCTACATGTTATAGAAATTTGGGGAAATAAAGTAGAGCAAAGAGAAAAAAGTAAACATTTTGGTGTCTCTTCTTCCAGGCCCACCCCCTTCCCGCCCCATATGTCCTTTGATTTTTGGTTTAACATAGTCGTGATACTACCTTCTGTATTGATATAATTTGTTCACACCTAACGTACCATGGGCATATCTCTATGTAGTTACTCATTTTATTTTGAAATGGCTATGTATTCTTCTACCAAGTAGATGGATGGTAGTGCCAACTGTTGGTCACCAATGGTGTTACTACCTTTTCATAATTAAAAATAGGTGACTATCTTTGTGCATAAAGCTTTTCCCCAATGTCAAGTTATTTCCTTAGATTAAATTCTCAGAGGTAAGGTTATTGAATTAAAGAATATGAAAATTAAAAATAATTTAAAAAAAGAACAGAGGGGAAGCAGTACTGAAAAAGTCTAAAGTCTGAGGCCTATGGAACTGTATAAGTGCTTAGGGCAATGACTGGCATACAGGAGAGACTGGTGAGAGATGACGACTAGCCAAGGGCATTTCAACATTTCAGAAGAAAGCAGATGCCAATACTTACAGTGACCAACCCCCATGGCTCCATAATGGTTGGACACAGCAATGAGGTCGTACACATAAGGCCTTGCTGACGGGTCACAGACAAACTCAGACATATTCAGACCTCTAAGCACAAAACACAAAAATAGCTCTTAAATATGTTACAATCAGAGAAAGAAATTGGAGTAACCCAGCAATCCCTTTTACAAAATAGGACCAGAACACAAGGAGGTACTCAAACTGTTTGAGAATGAATAAATGAAAAGACCATGATAGAAGGGACCCCTAGAGTCTGTGTTCTCACCACTGACATATTTATTCGGAGAAGCAAATGAGAGAAGCCTCCTGGGTAACTCTAACACCAGACCAAATGGTGAAGAAATGGTCTGGAGACAGACAAAGAGAGCTTTAACACCTATGCAGAAATGGCTATTAGTAAGAGAATTACAATTGGTGCTACAATAATTTCAACTAAATCCCAAAACAGCACTCCGAAAGACCCCCAATTGCATTTTGTTTTAAAAATTTCAAGCACAGAAATTATTTTCTCTTAACAGAAAAGTTAAAAGAATTTTACAACAAATACTTATTACCTGCCACCAAGATTCTCCCGCTGATAGTTATACTTCAAGGGTCTATCCATTCCCCCCAGAAAGAAATGTAAAATCTGTATGTTATGGGGAACTCCTATCTTGTTGACTTACTTTCCTGTCTCCGTTACAGATGGAACCCTGGGGCCTGAGAGGGTATGAGTAGTCAGTCAGTCCCAGGCCCCACCCTAGGAACAGGACCGTGGCGAGTCTGTAAGCCCACTTGCAGCCCTGACAATAACCTGATTCTCCCTGGAGTCTCCTCTCTGGGTGTCTTGCCCCCTGTTGGAGAAGCAGCACTGTGGTTGTGCTGCCCCTGCTGAGGCCAGGCCCCCTGCAAGCAATGGATAGGATAAACAGGCCACTTACATGGCATGAGGGGCTAGAGGGGAAGCAGAAATGGCAGAGATGACCACCAGCACCCTGAGCCTGGGGCAGTGCTTCTACCAGTCTTTTCCCTGAAAGATGGGAGGATGGGGAGGGAAGGGGTAATGACAGTCAAGAGCTGACAGCCCCGAGCTGATACACATCCTAATTTGGAAAAGTTTTTCATGGCAAAATGCTCAGCCAATCAGTGCCCAGATTTCCTGCCTGTGTTTCAATTTTCCTAATACTGCAGTCACAGGA